GAGGCTTCCGACCTCATGCAGCTAATGGATATATGAGCCCACTGCCCAACCGTCGCCCAATGTGTACCATTGGGCATCTAGGAGAGAGACGAGTTCCTCCATTGACCATTTGAAATCTTTTCGAGCTGAGCTTGACAGTTTAGTAGCTACTGATGTAAGTTTACTCATCCTGCGATAATTTTAAGACTTCCATTTATCTTGCCCTTTATGTACTTTAATGCAAAAACCTTTTACGTTTACAGGTTATTTGGGATCCATACCACAGCTGCAGAGACCGGCATCCATGTAACCCGGTTACGTTCTACCATGGATGCTTAAAGTGCTTAGACGTTGTCGAACCCTATCATCCAGATAGAGTTTTGAGGCAGTTTGGCAGGGTTTAAACCATCCCAGATGCACCGCTAGCTCCTAGTCGTGGTGCACGAGGCAACATATCTGCACGATATACCGTCATGTACAGATACTTGGATAGGATGTGGGAGGCTTGGGATAACCACGTGTTGTCTGCGCAACGGAGGAGCACACCAGTTCGTCAGCCTTGGGAATGTGTACCGGGTTATATGGATTGGTATAAGAATATCACGCACCTATATGTCGAGCACACTGATGAACCGCGTATCCATGAGCATCAGAATTTCAACGAACATGCGGATGTAATCTATTATCCTCTCTTATGCATATGTAACTTACTTTTTTTTTCTGATATGTTCCCGAAAATGTGATATTCTTTTCAAATGCAGCGTATTGCACTTGCACTGCAGATTTCACATCCTATTATTGACGCTAGTTATCAGGAGGGGATTCGTCATCCTTATCGACTTTACCAGGCTATCGAGAGTATGACACATGTTCTTGAAGGTCAGCACATTGACGAAGCTAGACCTAGTTCTGCTGGACCTAGTTCTGCTAGAGGTCGCTTTCCATCTTCGACATTAACATACAGTCGTAGGCCTAGGCGTAGGCATACAGCTGATTCGTGACATGTTATTTTGTTACATGTTATTTTGTTAGTTGATGAATCTTTTTTGGTGTTTTTTGTAAGATGACATTGTTGTAATGGTAACGGTGGTTAATATTTTCTTATTAGAATGGAATGGCAACAATGGTATTGTAATAACATTGTAATGACATTTTATTATTAGAATGGAATGGTAACAATGGTCGTTGATTTTCTAAATGATATTTTCTTATTACAATGGAATGGTAACAATGGTCGATAACATTCAATCCACATTGCAAAACATAACACATCAACATAAAAAACACATCCATTAATTTCTTTCATAATTCTAACATTGTCAAATGCATACATGTGTCATACGACATCAACAACATCAAAAGTCTCTCGAGTAGCTACATTATCATGAATAATGTCCTTGAAATGTTGAATGCGACGCACATATGCATCATTCCAGTCAACAGCGCAAGGGTGACGATATTTTCTCCAATTAGTGGCAATAGGAGGAACTGGATGGCCTGGCTACAACAAAACCTGCACCAAATATCAATTGACTTAGTGGTCATACCTCATAACTTCTTGTACATGCACAAACCCAATTGATAAGTTTGTGTTATACCTGGACGAAATGATTTCCGTTGACAAACCCAATGGCAATCTCACGTCTATCAAGTTGAGGTATTGGCACTGTTCTAAGAGGTAAAAAGGTGAGACATTGATGTAAAGACAAGTGGTATAACACAAGATTGTAGCACGATGCAACAAGATGCCCCATGTCTGGCATTGTCATCCAATGTGAATATCCAGGACTGTCTTCAAAGTATGACAATATGCTTGTCAATTCTTCAAACCTTTCATAGGACCCATAAAGTGTAATGTATTCCTCTTTGTGTGTGTGCAGCTCACCCAATAGGTCACGCCTAACTTGAGCCCAATCATCTTCTGTATGACCAATTGAAGCAGCTATAGCCCTGAAACCACAATTCCCATCTGCAACTACATCCTTGATAAACTTAATGTATGGTTTCAACCCAACAGGGAAAGCATCAACATATGCACCAGGTTTCACTGTTCTAGTAATGCATGCCTTCCCTTTCGGATTCACCTTCTCCTTTCCCTTAATAGGTCGCATCTTCTTGGTTTTCAGAGTAGAAGCTAATGTAGTGATTTCAGTGTCCCTAGGTGAGAAGGAATCATGTCCAGATTGCACTAACTCAAATGCACACGGGTCACGACAGGTAGAAACATTGATCTTCTTATGATCCCGAGGACGTGTTTTGGGCTTCACCTCCGGCTCAACAAGAAAAGTGCTTCCCGGATATACAATCTCTTTCAACTTCTTCAAAAGCTCCAACCGCATGGTTCTATCACTTTCATTAAATTTGTTCACAAACAACTCTACTTCTGCATGACAAGTCACCTCCGTTTCCTCTTCTTTCTTACATATGGAGATTTGAAGTTGCCTCCACTGTGAGTGTATGGTAGCAAGTGGTATAGGACGATCTTGTCTGATGTAGTCAGCAATCTCATGGGCGCAAGGTAAACCATGAGTGTGGCGAAGGACGCATCCACAAGCTTCAACATCAATACCAATGGAATTGGCTCTCTTACTCTCGACAAGCAAATACTCCAATGCAGAGATAGACACATTCCCCCGTAGCTCCCTGAATTGAGAAGGTTTAAATTGATGTTGCACAACAGTTAGACTTTTCTCAAATGAAGCCTTGATATCAGTGTGTTGCAACTCAAGCAGACTGTGTATTTTCTCAAATGATGCCTGAAATGAGACTTGACATGAACCCAATTGTCTTTTAAGTTCTGCATGTGCACTCTCAGCCCTGTTCAATTAAATGTAAGTCAAGTTAAAATCAAGTACACGGCAGTTATTAATAACATATTCAACAAAAGTAATGTTACCGGTTCGTTGTAACATTGCCACAATACATACACGTGTCTGTCCATGCCGCCACAAATTTGTCCTTATAAGGAACCAACCAAGTATCCATGACATATTTGACTGCATCAGGATAACTACTGAATTCCTTAAGTAATGATTTAAGACGCTCCTCGTATTGAATTTCAGAAGATGAATACACTACAGAGTTCCACTCATGGTTGAACTTCTCCCATTTTTGCTGTGTCTCAAACATTTTCTTGCATTTCGTCAACACATTCTTACTGATATGCCAACGACATAATAAATGTCTGGCACTCGGGAATATCTTCTGTATGGCATTCATCAAGGCTAGCTCTCTGTCAGTAACAATAACTGTTGGCACAACAAACCCATCCATGACATCACGTAATGTGGCTAACACCCACGCATAGTTATCGACCCTCTCATACTGTAAGTATGCAAAAGCTACAGAGAATGTCATTTCAGTTAATGTCACTCCCACAATTTCAAGAAGAGGAAGCCGATAGCAGTTGGTTTTATATGTGCAATCCATAATTAATATACGTGGGAAAGACCGAAATAAGTCCAAACTGGTAGGATGTGCCCAAAACAAGTCAATCACAGTCATCGTGGACTCTTCAGACCGATGGCGCTCAATGTAATTATACTTGGCCAATTCACCCAATAAGTGTTGCATCTGTGATCTTCCAGCTCTCTGTACCACCCTATTTCGATGGCGTACATTGTAAATGGTTTAAGTGTGCTTATATTGAGGGCATCTCGCTATTTTAAGGTTACTAGGATTTCTTTTGGCCGAACCATGCTCTTTGACATATCCATTAACAATGTTTTCTCATCCTTTGATAGCCTCCCCGCATATGAATGTCCCTCAAGGTGCTCCACAGGTGGATGATTATGCAATCCACATACTACAGTCAATGTCCATTCATCATGTGTGGTAAACCTGTGAGCCCTCATATCAAAAGGACAACCACACTTCTTCGTACCGGTTATTCTTGATGTATTGTTGCCATCATGTTTTTACTTCTTTGTTGCTCTATATTGGCCACTCCTCTCACAAGTAAGATACATCCTAGGTCTTTTTTTCCCTCCACCATAGTCCGATGTTTTGATTACAATGACTAAACCATTTCTCTTTCTAACTTCGCGTACCCAGTTGAGCAATTCATCCTTACTTTTGAATACCTACAAAGTTAAATAAATATTATCAAACATTTACATTTGGTGAGCAATTCGAAACATAATCGTTATAATTTCGTAGACTAAACCTGTTCAATTGTGAATTGAGTGGTGTAATCTAACACAAAATCCGCGTAAATCTGACTTCCTTGAGTTGACACATATTCCTGCATGTTTTGTATAACATTACAAATTTTTAATAGCATTATAAAGATTAATTTGTAATTTGAAACTGTAAATTTGGTATGCAGTTTGCAAATTTGGAATATAAAATGGAAAAAAAAAAAATTTACTTCATTCGGAAGTAGTTGTCCGAATTTTTTTTTAAATTTCAAAAGTTGAATGTTGTAAAAGTTACCTTTGTTCGGACAACAACTTCCGAATTTAAATATGTTGTTCGGACAACAACTTCCGAAATTTATTACTTTGTTCGGACATCAACTTCCGAAAATACATAATTATTTCGGTAGTAGATTTCCGAGCCAAATAACACAATTCGGCTCTGGTTATCCGAACGACGCTGGGAAAAAAAAAAAATTAAACTCACATTTCTTTCGCTCGGCTTCACATGAACACTTATTTGCTGATTTTCAGAAGACAAATCCTCCATAACAATGATGTTTTCCCTACGAATGACGAAGGTTGATGAACTTGGAAACGCCAAAGCCCTTTGGTTTCACTTCTACCTCAATGAACATCATATACAGAAATTGATGGAAGAAGCTATGAATGAGCATCCACAAGCTACACACACGATGCAACAGATGTGAATTCACATCTGAGGTATACATTGAGATGTTTTCAATTAACAATGGTGTCTAAAATAATAATTTCATTTAGGGATAAAATTGTAATAAAATTAAATATCATTAAGTGTGTGTATTGAGGGGATTAGGTGTGTGTATATAGAAGCTCCCCATTTTTGCCAACCTTTGGTGACTAAAAACAAAAAAAACAAAAAAAAGGGCTAAAACCCTAGAACACAGAATTTCAAACTGACCAACGTATCCAATCCGCTGGACGCTAAACCCTCGGTACAATTTTCTTCCCAAACCTCCAATCTGTCTGCTATTTTGAAGCAAAACCTGAACTCTCTCTCTCTCTCTCTCATACGTACACTCCCATTCGCTTCTCACCAAGAACACCACAACCCAATTGAGACAATACAACACTCTTTACAATAGAGGCATGATTGCAGTTGATGAGGCCTATCTATCTATTTCATTGATTGACTAAAAATACACTTTTCATTGCTTTGAAATGAAAGCTTTGAGAGCTCTTAGAACATTCACAATCCTTTCTTCTTCAATACCCACCAAAACCCATCTCAATTCAACCGTTCTCTGCCGCTTCTACGCATCCCAACCTCAGCAACACAACCCCACCCCCACCGCCTCTGAAGATGACGAGAATGGCGACTCTGTCTTTGACAGCAGCGAATACACATTACCCAACATCGGTTTGGATTCTGGGCCTGAAATAGCTCCAAAGCCGACTTGGGATGAGAACTACAGAGCTAAAGCCAATCGGGCTATCTTTGGAGAAGAAACCCAGATACAGAATTCGAGAATTTTGGTCAAGGAAGAGGAAAAGAGGCGCCGGGCTGCTGCGCTTGCAAAGGCTTTGCTTGAAGCTGCATTGGAGCGGCCGGATGAGGAGGAGGAGGAGGAAGAGGATGTGGTGGTGAAGGAAGAAGACCAGAAGTCATTGTCTGTGGGAATTATTGGCGCACCCAATGCTGGAAAGTCTGCGCTAACCAATTACATGGTTTGTTCTTCTCTTTATTCACTTCTATTTATAACAAAATGCTTTTATTTTGAATTAATGTGCTTGTGTAGGTTTGTGCAATTTAGGTGTTTGATTTTAGGTCAAGCTCAGTTGTTAGTTTTCCCTATGGATTTTCACACATGAAAAATGAGTGTTGGAAAGGAAGGTGGCAGTGTTGCTGCTTGAGGAGAGTGATCCTTTTGATTTTTATGATATTGGAGTTGTCTCGATGAAGTAATTTGCAAATTGCATCACATCATTCAAAGGGATAGGAACAATTGCTATCTTTCATTGGAAATGGATCTTGTTGTTAAAGCCTTGCCCATTTAAGCTTGATGTCTCATGCAGGGAATGATGACTTGACCTAACTAGTTTATTGATTTGGTAAATTCCGAAAGATGAAATTGTTGTTGCTATTTATTTATTTCAATATGGATTAAGGAAATAGGGGGGACTGAACAAACCAAAAATCTATGGCACATATGTCCATTTTAGTCAAATAAAAAAAAAAATGTAGAAGAAGAGGAAAATGAAAAGAGAAACGAGAAGTAAAACAATTTACCTTTAGATGAATGACATTCATGGGCAGATTCCATGAAAGAAACAGCTATAGGAAGATTAGAGAGTGTAGAGCAGAAACTGTATGTTTTTATGCTTAGTGAAAGATGTTGCACTTCTCTCTCACAACTCATCGACATGCCAAGTTTGTTGCTTTGTTGTTACCATGCCATATAGCCATCAAAATTCTCACTATGCCCTGGACCAACCCTCTTTTTCTGTCCATGAATCTTTGGTCTCTGGAATTTTACATATGTTCTATGAAAACAGTGGAAGAAAGTTCTAAGAGAGCCAGGTTTCAAAAGTAACACCTTTAATTGAGTTATCTCAAAACTATTTCTGAGCCTCCTAAATATTTTTGTCCATTTGCTTGTGGGTTTCGCAGTTTTCTTTCATTTTCCCTCTTCTTTTTTTTGATGGAAACAAAAGTCTCTTTTTAGAGTTTATACACATACACGTGCATTGATATATGTGTATTTGAATGAGAAGTTGCCACTTTGTAATGGCATAGGTTGGCCTTGATCCAATATTGCATCATTAGGAGAGGGTAGGATCAAGAGTGAAACTCTTAATTGTAAGTGTTGACCAAAGAGGAAACAGGAACAAAGAACAAAAACAAAGCTTATTGGTTGACTTGCTTAGGATTGGTCGTCATGCTAGTGATTTTAATGTTAATGATTAGGCCATCTCATTATGGACCGGGTACAAATTCCTTAACCAATATTTAATGGGTCTTGTTAACGAGTGTCTTAAATGCATTTGTTAACAAAGCTTTAAATGGTTGTATATTTTTTATGGCACGCATTGTTATAGAGAATGTATAGTCATTTCAAGCTTCTTAATCCATATTCAATTTGGTTTTCTACCTTTTCTTTTAATCTTCCTTTATCTTTTTGTACTTTCTTTTGGGTTGCTCTCCCTTATCAACAAGAGTTGGACCCAAGACCATTCATAAACTAAGAAGTGTAACACTTCTAAAAAGGTGTTGTGTTTGTGTTAGACACCAATGCTTGTTGGACAGTCACTGACACATGTTAGACACATCCAAACACGTTGTATTATTTTTTTGTATATTTTTTTTAATTAGATGCACTTGGTAGGGTTGTAAACGAACTAAGCTATTTATGAACAACTCAAATCTGGACTCGATTGCAGATCGTTCAAACTTAAAAAGTAATCTATTTAGCTCTTAACTGACCTACTTTTAAAGGTCTATGAAGCACGGACAGACACCGACACGGGACACGGCAATTTTCAAAAAATGGGGACACGGACACGGACATGGCGGGGGACACGGCAAATTTTTATTTTTTTATTTTTATATATTTTTGTGTTATATAGATTCATATTTCATTCATTCTAAATCAAAATTAACAAACACTAATATAGTAACATTAATTCAATAAATATAAGAGAGGCAAAAGATTCAACATCCAACATCCAACAATAAATGAACTAGACATTTTTCCTATTAATTAATTAACATTAAAACTATGATTAAAAAAAAAACAAAAGTTTACATATATATATAAACCTATAATTAATTTTTTTTTTTTTAAAACTACAGTTTTAGATATATAAACATATAATTACAACAACAAAAAAAAAAAAAAATTAAAAATCTTACATATATATAAATTTATATATAAAGGGATAAAGAAATAAAAATCAAAATAACTTATATATAAACCTATAAATAAATAAAAATTAAAATAACTCTTACATATATATATATATATAAACGTATAAAAAAAATAAAGAAATAAAAATTAGTGTTATTTTGACTCCCTCAGTCGAAAACAGACCACAGAGAGAGAGAGAGAGAGAGAGGGCTTACCTTCGAAGTCGGCTAGATCGGAGGTCGATGACGACTGGATCGACAGAAACTGAGGCTGAGACGACTCGGTCGGAGGTCTTCGATCGACTTTGGAGGGCTTCGATCTACTTCGTAGGATTTCAACTGAGAGAGAGCTTCGATCGACTTCGGGCTTCGACTGAGAGAGAGAGCTTCGATCGACTGAGAGAGGGCTTCGACTCAGAAGGTCTTCGCAGGTTCACTCTATTTCGACTCCCTCAGTTTTTACTTTTTAAATATTACACTTTGACCCCAAATACATATAACAAATTTAGAAAAGAGCCCCGCCGTGTCCCCTAGCGTGTCCAGATGTGGACACGCATGTCCCCGCCGTGTCCCCTTCCAAAAAAAACTTTAAATTAAAGGGACACGCCATCTGGCGTGTCCCGTACGTGTCCCCAGCGTGTCCGCGTGTCGGACACTGCCACGGCACAATTTTGGAGTGTCCATGCTTCATAGACCTAATATATACCCAAGTCGTACCGTACATCAATCGAAACAATATTTTCTTCTAATACAAAGGTAAAATTAATTTCATTGGACTTATGCTTAGCATGATTCTAAAATTAAGTTATGGTTTACGAGTTATTTAATATAATGATATTTAATTTTGGTTTGTACCTTTACTTTTGACATTAAATGTGAATTGTAAGTTGCGTTTTAACAAATTAAACCATTTAACTAATCTTTGCATTATTACTCCACATTAAAAATAAATGTTGTTTTATAAATGTACCTAGCCATATTCGTATCCTATTTTTTTTTAGATTTTACCATATCGATGTACTCGTATCGTAGCAGTATCAGTACTCATACACGTACCCATGCTTCATAAGTTAAATTGAAGCTCAATTATCAGATGAGTCAAACTTGATCTAATATGAGTTCGACTCGATTAGGTGAACTCAATTATATCAAATTATTTAATCAGTTCCTCTCTAGTTCAACATATATTTAATGCATTGCTCAACAGAGTGTTTGGCCTATAGGATAGTTGACACATTCTATATGAAGTTGTGACTATAATTAGATCACCTGCAGGACAAACTAGTGAATTTTCAATCACTGTAGGGTTGCATCAAAGGTAAGCTTTAAGTCCTTACCTAGCTGCCCTAGTCATGAATGAATTAACTAAACACATTCAAAATGATATCGTATGGTGTATTTTATTCATTGATGATATCGTTCTACTAAGAAAGGAATTATCACTACATTAGAAATCTGGAGAGAAACTTAAGTCAAAAGGGTTTAAGGTTGGTAGAAATAAAACTGAATATATGAAATGTAATTTTAACAATAGTAGAAGTGAAAATAATGGAGAAATGAACATTGACAGCGAGGAGATAACAAATAATGAACATTTTTTTATATATTTAGATTCAATTATTAATAACGATGATGGGATTGGAGATGATGTAATTCATGAATCAAAGTAGGTTGGCTCAAGTGGAGAAGTGAGTGTGACATATCTAATCAACGAATACTAACAAAATTGAAAGGAAATATCATGCTCACTTCTCCACTTGAGCCAACCAAAATTGAAAGGAAATGTCATGCTTACAAAGCATTCCCGTCCTACATTGCCTTCTCAATGTATTGCAATGTATACAAAGAGCTTATATAAGTGGCGAAAACAAAGGAAATGAGTTCACTACAACCATTTAATCAAGTTGTTCATTGTGAAGATGAGCTCGAGTTTAATTTTAAGACAACGAGTTGAGCTTAAGCGTAGTTGTTTAGGTTCAATTTGAGCTCAAACACTTCAAAGTCAATCAAGTTGAGCTTGAACATGGCAATGGTCGACTTGGCTTGGCTTATTTGCAACCTTACTTGTGAGACACATGTCCATCTCTTACACACACATGAAACACAATGTCAGTACAAAAAAGTTTGTGTTCACGATAAAATAAAAATATTGCGGATTTATATCTATTAATCTTTTTGTCTTTTCTTTTTTCTTTTTAATAAAAGAATCTAAAACCCAAAACTTCCAATTTTCATATAAATTAATTTTTGTGAAATAGGTATTTGGACTTCTTGTTCATACTTCTTTTCCTATATATAGAATATAGAAAATAATTTCTTCCTATTTTCATATTATAAAATTTAAATGTATTTGTAATGTAAAAGATGGAAAAATATTTATGAATTTAATGTATGCATATAAATAGTATACTTACTAGCCGTTGACCCGTGCAATGCACGTGCTATTTTAAAAAAAAAAAAATATTCGATGGTACATTATGTGTTATAAAAGAATAATTTTAATTTTAATTTTAATTTAAAATAAAAATTAAAATTAAAATTAAAGTATGATTTTAATTATTTATTTTTATAATATTGGCGCTATCGTTCTATAAAATTGTTACTTGAATACTTATATATATTAATTTTAGTTAAATTATTTGTGTATTTTGATAATTTTAGTTCTATCGTATTATACAAGTGTAATTATCATATAATAATTTTGTATGATATTCATTTTGATATTAAAAATAATAGTTAAATTAGAAGAAGAATTATTAACATAAAATTAAAAGTAATTCTAACTATTTAAATTTCTTTTATATTCATTTGGAAAATAAAAATGTAGAAATAGAAATTATATAAAATTTATTTAAAAAATTAAATATAAATATGTTGCAGTTGGATTATCATATAATAATTTTATATGACATATATATTAAATTATAAGATTGTAAAATAAACACTCTTAATTAAATTAAAGGAAAAATTACAGATAAATCCCAAATCAAGAAATGTTGTTCCATTTGGTCCTGTGTTTTTTTTTATGAACCGTTTGGTCCTATTTAGTTAGGAAGGAATCTTTTCATTTGATTTGGTATTGTTCAAGTTTACATTTTTATCCTTTTTTATAGGATTAAGGGGATTATAGTGATGATGTGGATTTGTGTATTCGTGGTGGTGTATTTGCACATTTCCGTTTTTATATATTCGATTAAGTGATTTATAGGGGAATTGGTTAGTTTTTTGATGTGGTTTTATTTGTTGTGGGTTTTGTGTTTGCTAGTCTGGGAAGCCTGTCGTGTTGTTGTGGGTTGCCAGCACTGGCGATGTTCTGAGATTTTTTTTCTCAAGGTAAGTGTTTCGGAAAAACCACCTACGACATTTCCAAAAACAATCCACGATTGCATTAACTAATATTACACACCTTCGCACTGCCGCTAAACATGTATCATTTTACGTTACGATGACTTTCACCCAGTTCTGAACAATTTGGTTTGTCATACCATCAACCTAACCCAAACATCTTCGGCATTACGGCGCAACCATGTTGAATACATCACCCCAAAATGGCAAACATAACCATTACAGCTGGAGACATTACCATTACTGTTCAATAAACACCACTAGCACGATCAATATTGATAAAAACATTCAACAACGGCACAATACCAACGACATTTACACTACCTAATAGAATATAAAGACAGTAAGGTTGCCTTAATCCCACTATGCGTAGTACACTAGAGAAATGAACAAATACAACAACTCACAAACCTAACAACTAAAACTCAAAAATCACAAATACAATTTTCAAAATGCATCAACAATTTCAATTGCAAAAGGTACACACCTTTCAGTTTCATTGTCATTGTCAACAACTCGGGGGATGACTGAATCAGTGGTGAACGCTGCACCCAACATTCATGTCCATCAATATTGATTGAATCACCAGAGAGGACGAAGCTTTGATTTGTCTGCTGCAGTCGAAGATGTTCCTACTTGATGTGTGTAATGTAGCTATTCATCCAATTAGGGTTCCCCTGAATATCAAAAGTGGAATTCGATCACTATCTGCGGAAATCAAAAAATGTTAGTGTTTCAATCCACCAGCATTGGAATGTTCAAATGTAGTAGTGTTCATTCCCAATGTTTCCTAACACATTTTGAAAGATTCCATCAAAAACATGGAAACTATAAAACCCTATAGTGCGCTTTGTGTCCATAAAAGGAATTTTGACAGTAGCCAAAACCCACATTGCCCTCCCATTAAAACATAAAAACACGCATGGTGAAGGACAAATCTGCCATTTCATACTATTCAGGACTTTTTGGTTCAACAGAAAAGATACAGGACTAAGTGGTGCATAAGTTCATAATTTAGGATTTATTGGTGCTTCACCCTAAATTAAAATATCAATTATATAAAAGAAATTCAATAACGACTAACTAAGGAAAAAATCACATAGCAATATTTAAACCCAAAAAGAAAAAATAATGAAAACATCCAAACAATAAATACATCTCAGTGTGTAAAGTGATTAATCATTTGTAATATGATGTCAAAATATAAAAGAACTTACTGTTCAACAATTGACAAGTAACTAAAGCAATGAATCCAAACTTTAGAGGTTCCTCGAGAGTATCATTGTTGTACATGTTTTTCCTTCTGTGAGTTGTGATTATATAAATAATATAGGAAAGGAAATATAATTTTATATATAGAATCACTATAAAATTTAAACAACAAATCCATAATATAAAATAATATAAAATTGGTATTGGGTATAGAATAATGCACGAATATAGAATTGGTATTGGGTAAAGAATAATGTGGAGGAAAATAAGAAAAAAAAGAGGCAATTTAGCATTAAAAAAAATCCCAATACCCTTGAAAGAATTAAGAAGAAAAACGTAAAATGCAAAATTGGTATTGTGTCTGTGAATTATCTCAATTTACTATGAAAAATATATGAAAAAGAAATATTTGTCAAATAGAGTCCATATAAAATAGGTAAAATTAGTGTAATTTAAATTAGATTTAGGTTTGTATAGAACTCTATATGTAATTAACAAAAATACATGCTAACGTGGCTCTTTTAGGAAAAAAATAAGCCCTTATAATGTGCCACCTAAGCATGAGAAAAATGTTACTTTTAATAATATATATGATTTGTTGTTGTGTCCGACGTGTCATGTTCTCTTTTCTTTTCTTTTCTTTTCCTTTTTTAAATTGTTGTGTCGATATGTTAGTATCGTGTTGTATTTGTGTCCTATGTTTGTATCCATCTTTCTTGGCTTATAAATTGCTGTTGTCTATTTTATGAAACAACATTACCACTCAAAATATTATACTAACAGAAAACGAAGAGAGATTTTCCTGTTTGGAAGTGGTCGCTGAAGAGATGGAGCTGAAAGTTTGAAGTCTATGGAAAGGTTCTCTCTCGTATATTTTTTTTGGGAAAATCTAGAAAGAAATAAGTCAGAAAAGATTCTATGGAATTGTGATCTTGATTCTGGTTGTGGATCATGACTTGATGATTTTGTTTAATTCTAGTTTGGTGCTCTTGTATCTATGGGATCTCAATATTGAATTTTTATACATATGAGGGTTCCATCATTTCCTAGTGTAGTATATTAGTTACTACAAGTATACAACAAATAGTAATATAACTTTACTTCTCTTGAAGTGATATAACTTGTTATTTTCATAAAGGAAATGGTAACACATTCAGATTATCATGTTTGAATAGAGGTGTTTGTGTTAATATTTGTTGTAAATAATCTTTTTGTAAACTTGTACAATTGGATTATGTATTCAATCTTTTTATCCATGGAGGTACATATATATGTATAGAGACATATTAGCCTAGTTGTTAACTTCAAGGTCCCAAGATTAGTCGAGGTGCACACAAGCTGGCCCAAACACCCTATTGTCAATATACATATATATGTCCTATCAATTAGAGCATATTTGCATTTATACTTTTTAAAGCTTTTTAACCAGCGTTTATTTCTACTGGCGTCATATTCAGATATTTTTGGAGTTAGTTACATTTATTATTTGTTACAGGTTGGGACAAAGGTTGCGGCTGTTTCTCGCAAGACAAACACAACTACTCATGAAGTATTAGGAGTGATGACCAAGGGAAACACCCAAATTGTATGTCTCTTTTCTAATTAATTAACTAACTTAATTGTTTGCAATTGCTCCCAAAAGAGAAAATCATTAGCAAATAGCATCATGATTTTCTGATATTCTTTTAGATCTCTCCTTTGCTTTTGAATTTGGCCCCTCCAGTATTGCCCCTTCACTCAATGGATACATTGCAGTTTAGAATAGAATAATGTTTTTGTTTATTAAATGGCCTCTTGTTGTTAACAATAGAGTTCAACATGTTAAAGATGCTTTGTGTATAAGTGATGATTTTCTAATGTTTAATAATTTGCTTTATTATTTCTTGCTGACAAGCTTCACTTCTCAACAAAATAATGTACAGTGTTCCATTCTTGGTTTCATGTTTCGTCATGCTAAAACTGTAGCAAATCCGCCTTTTACATTTTTAATTTTTTTTATAAAAATTATTCCAGGATGATAT